CCCTGAGCCAGTGAGATTTGAACCGCTGACCTGCTGATCTAGCAGTAGCCTGCAGTGCTGCATTTAACCACTGCGCCACCTTGGCTCTTAAAGAAAGCTAGCCATGTGACACTGGGCCAATCATTATTTCTCAGCCCAACCCACTTCCCAGGGTTATTGTTATGGGTAAAATAGGAAGAAGGAAAAGTATTAGGTATGTTTGAGGCCATGATTTACTTATAAAGTAATAAAGGCGGGATGTAAAGAAAATCTAACAAAATTAATTTTAAAAATTGATATTCAAAACACAGCTCATGGGAACTTAGACACAAATATCTTAATATATACCTTCCAAAATAGGGTAACTGTATCTTCATTAGCATCTTTTTCTCTCCAGATATCAAGCTCTCTTGCTGGTTCTAGGAGAAGAATTGTTAATTGCACTAATGAAAGTATTAATTTTTAATAGGCATATATATAGTAAGTACATTTTCTTTAAGATGTTAGACATTGTTTATGTATTGTCCAAATTTTTATTCATCAGGAATTGTACAACCCGCAACACTGAAGCTTTTTCATTGTTTGGAAAAAAAATATTTATAGTTACAGAGACATAGAGTTTTCTTATACCATTTAACTTGAACATATTCTGGATACACCAAATGTTACTTGCTACTAACATTTCAATTAATTATTTACAAAATAGGTCTAACATATTAGTTGTACTAATTAACAGAGCAGATGATCTGAAATTTGTGAAGTTGTGAGTTTGAATGCTTTCATATATGTATTAAAGTTTGACCCACAAAGAGGTAAATTAAAGTTTTCTTGGGGAACAGCTTTTTAAATGATCAACTATTATTTATGCTTTTTTTTTGTAACTTTTTTTTACATAGAATCTGAATCTATCAAGCTATAGATCAGTGTGACACAACAGTACAGTAAATCGCTGATTTGGAAGTGTTTCTGGTGCTTTATAAAATTTATTTTGGTGGTTATGACCTGTAAGGCACAATATTATTAAGGATTTGCTTCTCAGATTCATGATTCTAACTGTGATTGTGTGTAAATAATCATGTTCTATAATTTTACAGTGCTTTCATGTTGATCCCATGTGAAAATCATGCAAAATGAACAGGATCCATACCGTGTCTGTTTCTGTGCCATGGCAAAGCCAAAAATGGTCAGATCTATAATTACTAGGATACACCTGGTGCTAAGAGATGTCTGATGGTGATGGCTTTCCGGTGAATCTCATAATCATAGAAAATCATGGGACTCCTTTTTAATTTCTATTTTCATTCATAGCCATCCAAAATTCAATACACTTACGGGCTTGCTGAGTTGTAGAGGTTTTTTTCGTGCTCCACTCACTCCATTTCCAAAAGAAAGGCTTCGGAGTAGCACAGCGAACTTGGAAATCATATTTTGTGAATGGATGCAATTTGTCCACTAAGATGATGTAACGTGAATTTTCTGAATTATCCAGCAGCACAATCTGAAAGAAGAAAACGGGAACATATCTTTAGGTCAAAGAGCTGATGGTTAGAATTATCGTTGCGCGGTCCAGATTTTATTTATGTTATTATTACAGTTCTATGCCACCCACCTCACTAGGTGACTCTAGACAGCTTACAGTCATACAATTAAAATACCATATAAAACATGACAACAATAAACAAGAACCATACATTTAAAATTCAGTTAAAATTGAAATGAACCAAGATGGAAAGGAAAAGAGCAGAGTGCGCCCAGGGAATAGGTGACATCTAATGAATCCATTAAACTCAAGATGCCACCCCTCTATTGGGTCCTCCGGCCAGCTGGCAGACCCAGGTCTTCAAGCCCTTTTGGAAGTCCAGAAGGGGAGTGCAGAACTGAGTTGAGGGCAGGATGTGCCAGAGGTTAGATGCCTTGGTAGAAAAGGTTCTTCTGGATATTGCCTGGCAAAATTCCTTGACCAATGTGGTCCGCAATATAGTTCTTCTGCCAGAGCAGATATAGCACTAGCAATAGCACTTAGACTTATATACCGCTTCATAGGGCTTTCAGCCCTCTCTAAGCGGTTTACAGAGTCAGCATATCGCCCCCACAGTCTGGGTCCTCATTTCACCCACCTCGGAAGGATGGAAGGCTGAGTCAACCTTGAGCCGGTGAGATTAGAACCGCTGAACTGCAGATAACAGTCAGCTGTAGTGGCCTTCAGAACTGCACCCTAACCACTGCACCACCTCAGCTCCCTAAAGTTGCAGAAGGCAAGGCCAAGTGGGGTGTGGGTTTTTCATGTTTTGGAGAACAGTTGAAGCGTTTGATTTCTTAAGCTATGTTTAAGCCTATCATGGGGCTTTGGGTACAGTTTTCATACGCTTTTACATCGGTAAATGATGAGACATTGATAATCATTTTTCAGCAACTCTGGTAAAAGGAAATTCCAGGGATTGTGTAGAACAGGGGAGTCAAACTCAAGGCCAGGGGGCTGGATCCAGCCTGCAAGGTGCTTAGATCTGGCCTGCGGAGCTGCCCTGAAAACAGCGAAGGACCGGCCTGCGGTGCTTATGACAACAAAAACGGAGCTCAGGAGGGTCACCTCCTCCCCCCCCGAAATCTGTTTTCGCTGGCCGAGGGTTGCAGTAGACCATCGCAGGTGAAAATGGGGCTCGGGAGCTCCTGACAGGCGCACCCAACAAGAATGACGTCAAACTGGCCATGCCCACCTTGGCCACACCCACATGCCCCCCCCCCCAAGGTCAAATACAACCCTGATGCAGCCCTCAATGAAATTGAGTTTGACACCTCTGGTGTAGAAGATTCCACTCCTATTAAATGCTTGGGATTTGGCTTTTGAGGGACTCCCTTTCTCAGTATAAACCAGTTGGATCTACAGAAGATCTTTTAAAAATGCCGCAGTGCTTAGTAGCTGATGTACAGGACATGCATTTTCGTTGGATAGAAACATGGCATATAAATTAAGCCAATGGACAATAAATCATAGCTCTTTAAAAGAGGAAGATAGAGGAAGAGACCACAAACTAAACTACATATATAATCCAACTATAAAGACTAAGTCAAGGTATGACTCAGAAGAGGCCCCAAAGGATGATTATTACTTTAACATATAGACATGGCAATGATACTGTACATTATAAAAATGTCATAGGATGCCTACCCTTTCTTCTTTGGAAGCGCCATTGGACATTTGAACCTGACATTGCAGTTTGGTTTCTTTGAAATTGCCAGGCAAAGAAAATGACAGTCTGAAACTGTCCGAAGTTATACTGCTCACTTTTAAGTCTGTTGGTCTATGTGGGTAAACTGGAAAAGAAAAACATGTTTCATTAAAAGAGTTTCTAACTTGCGTTTATTCACTGGCAAAACAATGCAGCACAAAATGGTAAACAAAGAGATTAGCATACAACCAGTAAGGGTTTTGTTTTTACATTCCACCAAAATCCTTGCTGGGAATAAATTTGAATTTTTTACTGATCCATGATGAGCCATAGATTCTGTCTAGAATGAAGTCTGGCTAGTATTTATCCCTCTCTACACATACACATACACAAACACACCCCTACTATTTCTCAGTTATTCCTGCAACAACTTTATATCAACCTGCCTTCCATTGAGGACCGGTACACTGCACAAGTTAAAAAGAGGGCCATGAAAATATTTACAGACCCCTCGGTATCCTGGACATAAATTTTTTCAACTCCTGCCTTTAAAACAACACTATAGAGCACTGCACACCAAGACAACTAGACACAGCAACAGTTTTTTCCCAAACACCATCACTCCGCTAAACAAATAATTCCCTCAACCCAGTCAAACTATTCACTAAGGCTGCATTACTATTACTGTAATGTCTTCTCATTGTTCCTATCACCCATCTCCTCCCACTTATGACTGCAGGACTGTAACTTTCTTGCTTGTATCCTTACGATTTATAGTGATATTGATCGTTTCTTGATTGCTTATTTGTACCCCATGACTATCATTAAGTGTTGTACCTTATGATTCTTGACAAATGTATCTTGTCTTTCTATG